GAAATCAATGACACTGTTCTGTAGTTTCCACACTCAGTTGTGTCACCTTTCTTTGGAATGGGAACAAATATAGATCTCTTCCAGTCAGTTGGCCAAGTGTTTGTTCTCCAGATTTCTTGGCACAACTTGGTGAGGTATGAATAAAGTATACATCCCTGATGTACACCCTTACTGGTTTTAAACTATGCATTGTCTCCTTGCTCCATTTGGACAATAAATTCTTGATCTAGGTATAAATTTCACATCAGCACAATTAAGTGTTCTTAGATTCCTGTTCTTTTTGTGCGAATATACCACAGCTTCTCTAGCCATTCGTTTGTTGATGGGCACTTAGGTTGTTTCAGATTCCTGTTCTTTTTAATGTTAACATTATTTGTTATGATACACACAGTCAAATGCCTTTGCATAGTTAATAAAACACAAATAGACATTGTTTTGGTGATCTATGCTTTCAGCCAGGATCCATTTAACATTACTAGTAATACCTTGGTACCTTTTCTAAACTCTGCTTGAACTTTTGTTGGTTTTTTGTCAATGCTAGCTATATTTGAATAATCATCAGCAATATTTTCTTGTGTGTGATATTAATGGTATTGTAATAACATATTTTCCTCATTCTTGTGAGTCGCCTTTCTTGGGAATGGGAACAAACATTCTCTTCCAGTCAGTTGAGTAGCCAGCTGTCCTCCAAATTTCAAATTTCCTGGCATGCACTGCTGAAATGTCCAGGGGCTGCATCTGCTAGATCAAACATGTTAATTTTTATCTTATTCTTACTTTTTGCCAGTGCCTTAAGTGCAACTTTGACTTCATCCTTCATAACCAGTGGTCCTTATTTATATGATATTTCCTGAATTTTTATTGGATGATTAATTATTTTTGGTATAGTGATTCTGTGTATTCCTTACATCTATTTTTTAATGATTCATAAATCATTTAAGATTTTGCCAATAACATCGCTAAGTATTGCAACTAGATTTGAATTTGGTTTTTAGTTTTTTATGTTTGAGAAATGCCAAGCAAGTTCTACACTTTTAATGCTATGACTTCATCGTTTTGTACATTTTGTCATAATAATTTGCTTTTCTTCTTGAACTGTCCTTTGAAATCTTCTTTTCAGCTTTTATTTTGGCCTCTCTTCCTTTTATTTTGGCTTCTTGATGCCCTAATGCAATTTTAATAATCTCTTCTGACATCTACCTTTTTTATTTTGTCTTCTGTCTTTGTAATGGTATTTTGATCTCTTCATTAATGATAGCCTCCTTATTTCAATAATTAGTGAGTCAAAAGAAGGATTAGTGAATGAGAAAAGTAGATAAATTTTAAAAGTAATTGATAAAAATGTTGTTTGATCCAATAACATGGCTTCCTATTTTTACATTAAATACAAGCTAAGGATAGACTTAAAGATCTGTGATGATATTGCAGAATATAAGGAATTAAATAGAAACTCTTATTTAAAAGAAATTCACTAAATATCACTTTACTCTCCTTTATTTGGGAACAATCAGGGACAACGTGGACACAGGAGATAATGAATATGATACTACATGATGGAGATGTTGATAAATGCAATCAAAAACCTTTATATGTTAAACAACATATGCTCGAGTGGGTTTTGCCAGATGGTTCCTTAGGTAAGTAACTGTGTGTGAACCTTCAATGGTCCAAGTTATATAAAACTTCCCAGAGATGTCTAATCCTTTTAAATGAGTAGAAAAACACATTCACAAAAAAGAGAGTCCAAGAAAAACTTAACCAAAAGATTGTGTGATTTTTGCCCCATCAAAAGGTAAAGAGTCAACTGTTAGCAATACATACAACTTTAAACAGATTTCATGCCTTGTTATGATGCCAGTAATTGATCCTTAGGGGGCATTATTTTTTTTAGTGGGCACTATATTTTAAGAGTAGTGCAATGGAGTCATTAAAAATGCCCCATTGCAAGGTCACTCTTTATAATGAATAAAATATAGATAAAAATAAATCATTAATATGGTAGAATATGAATATAGTAGAAACATTCAGGGGGCAAAATTATAAACATTTTTGCTATTACAGAACTATTACAGGAAATCAATCCCTCAGACTGGCAACTCAGGACAACAGTCTTAGAGAAAACCATAGTAAATTGGAATATCAGAGTTCATAAAGGCAATGTCCTATATCATCTGATGACTAGGAACTTGCATCTTAAAACTTTAAGTGATCATCTACGATGCAACTATTAATTTCTCTTCATCTGAAGCAAAGAAAACAGTGATGATAACCAAAGACACACAGAGACAATTAGTTCAGCTTCTCTCATGAGTCCCTCTCATTGGGGATCTCACCTTCATTCTGCTGCAAGATGCTAAGGCCTATGTGGCATGGCAGCCCAAGTGTGTCTTCCAGCACCACTTCCTCAGCATCCACAAAAGGTGCCAGGTCAACCCAGGCACACTATTCCCCTGGCTGGTAACAGACCATGGCCTGCAAGCTTGAGAGTCTATAGATTTAGTCTTCAATGCTGCCCAGAGCACTAGGCTACTACACTGTCCACCTGGAGACCACCCTCCTGCTATTCCTGCTGTCAAGTGCCAGAAGTATCAATATCAAAGATATATTGGGTGAAACATAGCTGACTAGCTACACTATGTGGGACCCCTTAAGCTCAAGCAGAATAGGCTTGGGCAGGTCAAGACAAGAAGTGGTTTCTAGAAGGGAACAGACTTACTGTTTCGCCATTCAGGTACTTTGAGTGCAACACGGCTGTTTAACTACACTATGTGGGACACCTTATGTTCAAGCAGAAGGGGCCAAGCCAGATAGACTTGGGCTGAAATGCAGTTTCTGTAAGGAAACAGACTTCTTGCCTTGCTATTCAGGTACTCTGTGTGAAATACAGTCATAGGTCCTTCACAAAACATTGCCATACTCTGAGCCATTATATAGTTACAACAACCTAACATCTACTGAGGAAAGACTCACATAATGTCAAGAAAGCAGCAGTCTGCCTCAGTCATCATGAAAAAACAAAATAACCTTTCTCCTAAAAAGGCAGACCCAATGAGTACCACAAATAGAGGGAGCTCGAATAAATATGGTGATGTGGAGGTATTTGAACTGCTTCAAAAGAAAATGGAGATAATGGAAGAAACAACAGAAGTCATTAAGAGTGCAAATACTCCAGAGACAACAATATAGAAGAAATATATTGATAAGGAGCAACTTGAACAGCTAAGAAAGAAAATGCAAAAGACAGAAGAAAGAATCAATAGTATAGATAAAGATGTACAAGAATTTAAAAAATCATCACAAGACAGAAAGAGTACATCTAATACAGTACTGGAAGGGACAGAAAAACATAAAAATGCAATCCAGAATATTAAAACTGAAATGGCAGAAATATCTAAGATGCTGCTAAGACAAAAAAAAAAAGTAGAACTGACAAAATGCAACAAAAAGTCAGTGACCTGAAAGACTCACTGGAAATATATTGGAAGAAAAATCAGAGATGAGATGTAAACAAAATGAAGAAAACATTAAAATCAGGTGGGATGACATCAAAAGATACAACATACATATGTTTGGAATTCCAGAACATTGGAGTATCAGGGAAGTCACTTAGAAAATTGTGGAAGAAGTACTAAAAGAAAACATTCACAGTATTTTAAGGAATGGGGACATCCACATTCACATTCACAAAGCACAGTAAACACTAAATAGCCTAGACCCAAAAAGAAAACCATCAAGACGTATCATAGTAAAATTATCCAAATTAAAAAGATAAGGATAGAATACAGAAAGCAGGCAAAAAAAACCCAGAGAGTCACTTATAAAGGGGAAACAATTATATTGAGTTCTGATTTCTCAGCAGAAACCATGCAAGCTACACAACAATGAGATGGCATATCCAGAAAGTCGAAAGAAAATTGCCAACCAAGGATCCTATACTTAACATAGGTCTCCATCAAATATGAAGCAGAAATTAGATCCTTTGCAGAAAAGGAGAAACTTAAGGATTTTGTAAAAGCAATGAAACCTACAAGAACTTTTTTAAATTTTATTTTATTAATTTTAATGAACATTTACAGAGATTTTGGATTTCCATTCATTCATTGTTGCACTTTTTTTCTCCCTGCCCATCCCTCCCTCCCCACCTGCCCCAGTTCACTCTTCTCTTTGAAAAGTAAAATTCCTTCATTGGTATACAATCACCCCTCCCCACCACCACACTCCATCCACCCCCACCTGCCTCAAGTGAAGTCTTTCACACAGAGATGCCAATGGAAAGTGAAAGGACCATAGTAACCAGAGACAACAGAAAAAGAAGCACAGCAAAATGGCAATGTCAATCCTGCACTGCAAAGGGACTGGAGAGTATTATTTTGAGTGAATGAACTCTGTCCCACGGGGACAACTACTATATAAAAACATTTCTTGTAGAATGAGTATGAGGATCAGGTGGGGGGTAGAAGCAGAGGGGTGAGGATGGGAGGGGTAGTGGGGTGTTAATCATAGGGTTGCACAATTTGATGGGTAGGAGGATGAAGGACATGGGAAGGATCTTTTGTTAAAAACAAAGTATTCAAACTTTGTAAATAAATCAGCATAAAATAAAAAAGTAACAAAAAAAACAAACAAAATTTTGAGGTAGTCTTTCTTCTCAAACATATTTAAGTAGTCATTTTCAAATGATCATGTAAGTAGAAAATATATAACAATTGTGATCTTATCTTTTTTACATTTTTTTTAAAATTTTGTACTAGTTTATTTACAAAATTCAAATACATTGTTTTTAAAAGCAAATTCTTTCCACCTCCCTCACTCTGCTCCAATCAAATTATTTAACACCTGTTTAATCACCCCCTCCCCCTGCACAGCCACATCCCTCTCCTCCCAGCCTCTCCCACCCCTCTTGGATCCTTATACTCATTCTACAATGATGGTTTTATACAATATTTATCCTTGTGGGACTGAGTTAGTTCACTCAGCATAATGGTTTTATTTTTATCACCAAAAGACAGTAGGTGGTACAATAAAGCTTACAATTCAACACAGAAAAATAAAAACAAAACAACAAAAACATGCCGTGACAATAATCACCCTTAATATGAATAGATGCTGATCTGAGAAAAGTGTAGCAGAATGGATTTTTAAAAAAAAGCAAAACACCCAAAAACCCAATAAATATGTTGCATACAAGAGATGCATCTAAAAAAAGAAGAGAAAGACTCAAAGTCAAAAGCTGGGGGGAAATATACCAATCAAATGGCAACCTCAAAAAACCAGGAATGGCAATACTAATCTCTGATAAAATAGACTTCAGAATGAAAACCACCATCAGAAATAAGGAAGGGTATTACATAATGATTAAAGGTACAATAATTAAGAAGACATAACCTTGCCCAAGATCTATGCATCAAATGAAAGACCTGCAAAATACATAAAATAACATTTAACAGAATTAAAGACTTCAACAAACCACTATCACCGAAGGATAGGACAACTCAAAAGAAACTCAACAAAGATGCAGAAGATCTAAACTATAAAATCAGCCAACTCACCCTTGTGGATGTATTCAAGATGCTGCACCCAATTAAAACTCAATTCACTTTCTTCTCAAGTGTACATGGTACATTTTCTAGAACAGATCATGCAGTAAGACACAAAGCAAGCCTCAACAAAGTAAAAAACATTGAAATAATACAAAGTATCTTCTCAGACCACAACATCATAAAACTAGAAATTAACTTCAGGAGGCTAAAGCTTATAAAACTTCCCATGTGGAAACTAAGTAACTCTCTGCTAGAACGCAATTAGGTTATAAAGAAAATAAAGAATGAAATTTTAAAAAGTTCCTTGAAATAAATTAAAATCAAAACACAACATACAGAAACTTCTGGGATACAGCTAAAGCAATCCTCAGGAGGCAGTTCATGGCAATAGGCACAA